GCAGAATTCCCCACAAGCATGATTTTATTTTTCCCAATAAATACAAAAACAAACCTGAGTACTCAAAAAAAGAAGAAATGAAGTCACAACCCAAGGTAAAACACAGACTTAAAATTTAGCATGCCTCACCTTGTGATATGTTGCTTTGTTGATATATGTACATTTTCAACATGGACATATATAATAAAAAATTTCCAGATGCCAATTCCCTACAATGTTGCTGTCTTATAGATTTCCAGTCCACAGAATTCCCTGTGGAGGGAATCAGCTCTTAAGCCAACATTTTACATTTTGAGGGTATTTTCAACAGCATTTCCTCAAGCGTCATTGTAGGGGCTGAAAAGACGAAACTTACTGCCTTGGAGTTGACCCCTGAAAGTGAGACTTTCTTTGATGAGAGAGAAATATCAACTAAGAATAGAGGTCTTGTTAGAAAATAAGCAAATACTCAGAGTGGCAGATTTTGTTTTGTTTTGTCTTTTAAAGGAAACTGATAAAAGACAAGATTAAAACTAAAGGGTAAAAGGAGATTATTGTTAGATTTAATTATTACAGATAAGCTCTGAGTTAAAGACCCTTTTTCAGCACTTCACACGAACATGTGGTCTGTTTGTCGTGAGGCCACAGCTAGTTAAGTACAGAATTTGAAATTAAGCATTTAGAAACTATTATAACAATTTGACAGAGTAATTTTACATCTGCTAGATTTAATAACAAAAAAGCCAGGTTTATAAGTTTGTCTATTTTTTCAATTTAATTTTTCCATTAATTGTTATTGTATTTTCAAAAGTATTTTTCCATGAGAGTTTAGAAAATTTAAAAATTTTTTTTATCATAACAGTGTGACAAGCCTTGGTTTATGTGCATTCTCTCATTTAATCTTCATATGGAACTCACAATATAGATGTCACTGTTATCTCCATTTTCCAGTGAGAAAACCAAGCTCAAAGACACAAAGTAATTTAGCAGCTGTCAGAGTCCAGATTCAAATCCAGGCTCTTGGTTCTTTTTTTTTTAAGATTTTATTTATTTATTTGTCAGAAACAGAAAGAGCACGAGCAGGGGGAGCAGAGGGAGAAGGAGGCTCCCTGTTGAGTAAGGAGTCGATGCAGGGCTCGATCCCAGGACCCTGGAATCATGACCTGAGTCGAAGGCAGACACTTAACTGACTGAGCCACCCAGGCATCCCCCAGGCTCTTGGTTCTAGAGCCCATTCTACACAAGACATGGTTTCTCCATTTTGGATAATATTGCCATACTGGACACCTGATCCCAGTATTTTCATTCAGTGGCATATTTTATCTTTGAATGCCATCAAGGAAATTCTGAGTCATAGTCCAAACAGCCTTTTTGCCTTTATATGTTAATTGTGAATTAATTACCTATGAATTTGTCTATGCCTTTCTTATACCTATTCATATTTTCAACCCCTTCCATCTCCTAGTTTTAAAGAGTTTTCTAAATTTACAATCCACATTATTAAGTAACCTTTCCTCTTATTTTTCATAAATTTAAAGTATATTGCCACCTGATTTCACTGTTCTGCAAATCTTTTTGTTTAGTTATGAAGGCTTGACTTTTTTTAACTTCTTATTTTGGTATAATTATAGGCTCTTAAAAAGTTGTAAAAATAATAAAGAGAGGTTCCAAATACCCATTACCCAGCTTCCCCCAATGGTAACAACTTACATAACTATAGTACATTATCAAATACAGGAAACTGATATTGACACAATACAATCTACAGACCTTACTTAAATCTCACTGATTTTTGAATGCACTCATTTTTTACCTTGTGAAGTTTATATGTTTCACACTGTTTAATTGGACTGTCTTCTATTTTTTATGAGCAACATAAACAATGTGCTCTGTTAATCTCTGTTCCCTTTTTGAGCAGCTCTTAAGATCTGCAGCTCAAGGATCCCTATCATCACTGAACTTATGAGTACAATAACTGTTCTTAGTTACATAAAGAACCCCGCCCTAGCTGCATGGCTACACTGATATCCCTGGTCTAATTCTTCTGGTCTCACTGACTCTTTTGGTCAGATTGACAAGAAACCATACTGATTAGAGTGGCCTCATGGTCCAGCCAGACCTCAGTCTGACTGTTATAGCTCTCCAGTATTCTTTGGCAATTACACAAAATTTTATTGAGATCCAGTTACTATCCTATTTGCTGAGATGCAGAGATGAATAACCAACTCACTATTCCTGCTGTCAAGAAGTTCACAGTCTAAAAAAAGAAGAAAGAAATAAACTTTCAGGTTCTGTTAAGATGGTGAATCAGTACCGGCTGCAAACATTTGTCTCTGAAAACTACCCTGGAACAATTATAGAAGAGAAAGGTAAGTGTGGATTTGGGAAAGTAAGATAAAAATAGCAAGAAACTCCTGAGCAAAAGAAGGTTGTCAGGAACTGGTGTCAGGCATACCTATAGTCTGGAGGGATAGGGGAGAAAGGACATTGACATAAAGCTGAGTAGCAGGGGGATGGGATAGGAAAAGTTTTCAGATCTGCTTTTTCCTCTTGCATTTGTTTTGGGAGATGATGGCTTGCCCTACTGCCACTGCTAGAATTAAATTAGTAGCCAAATCCCAGCCCTCTCAAGGTACTGAGATAATATTAAGGTAGCACCAAAGGCCTAAAGGTGTGAGGAGTGATAAAAACAGGTGCAAGCTGATCAGCTGTCTTCATCAGTACTATCGTTATTCCCAAGCAAGAGGAACCCCTGCCCTTTGTCATCACCCAGAGTCCATGAGCCCCCTCTAGACCATATTACAGGTACAAATATAGACAGGAACCCATTAACAAATCATCAGTAGTAAGTTCTCACCTATCAATATTGACTTTAAACATAAATGGATCATTTTTTCCAATCAAAAAACAGAGTGGCTGAATGGATATATAACAATATCTAACAATATGCTGCCTAAAAGAGAATAGCTCTAAAGGCATACACAGGCTGAAACTTAAGAGAGGGAAAGAAATAATGAAAGAAAACAAGACTGCTATACTAACATCAGAAAAAATAGACTTTCAGTCAAAAGTAGGTACAAAAGGACTACTTATATAATGATAAAGTGGTCATTTCAAGAGGATGTAACATTTGTATATATATGCACCAAATACTAGAGCACCTAAATATTTAAAGTAAATATTAACAGAACTGAACAGAGACAGCAATACAATAATAGCAGGGGACTTAAATACCCCATTTTCAACATTGGATAGATTATCCAAACAGATTATTAATAAGGAAACAGCAAACCTGAATAACACGTAGACCTAATGACCCTAAAAGATTTACACAGAACATCCCATCCAACAGCACCAGAATACACATCCTTCTTAAGCACACACAGAACATTCTCCAGGATAAATCATATGCTGGCCACAAATCAAGCCTCAATAAATGTAAGAAGACTGAAATTAAATCAAGGATCTTTTCCAGCCACAATAATATGAAACCAGAAATCAACAACAGCAGGAAAATGAAAAACTTCACAAATACATGGAAATTAAACAACACACTCCTAAACAACAAATGAATCAAAGATGAAATAAAAAGGGAAATCAGGAAGTGTCTTGAGACAAATGAAAATGAATACACAACATACAAAAACTTATGAGATGCAGCAAAACTAGTTCTAAGAGGGATATTTATAGCTATAAATGATTACATTAAGAGAAAGATCTCAAATAAACAACCTAACTTTATATCCCAAAGAATTATAAAAAGAGGAAAAATCTAAGCCCAAAATTATTAGAAGGAAGGAAATAACAAAGATTAGAGCAGAAATAAATGAAATAGAGACTAGAAATACAATTTTAAAAAATCAATGAAACAAAAAGTTGATTGTTTAAAAAGATTTTACAAATTGACAGACCATTAGCATATTAACCAAAAAAAAAAAAAGTAGACTCAAATAAAGTTACAAATGAAAGAGAAGTTACAACTGATACCACAGAAATACAAAGAATCATGGGGCGCCTGGGTGGCTCAGTCATTAACGTCTGCCTTAGGCTCAGGTGATGATCCCAGGGTCCTGGGATAGAGCCCCGCATCGGGCTCCCTGCTCAGCGGGAAGCCTGCTTCTCCCTCTCCCACTCCCCCTGCTTGTGTTCCCTCTCTCGCTGTGTCTCTCTCTGTCAAATAAATAAAATCTTAAAAAAAAAAAAAGAAATACAAAGAATCATAAGAGGCTACTATAAACAATTATATACCAAATTCCCTTGGTAATAAGGATCAATCACTCTGGCAGGAAGAGCAGGTCCTGCTTTCTGTCTGAGGATTTAGTGCCGTGAGAAATGAGATGAGTCTCAGCTTCCATGTTATTGAAGTCACCACTGTTTGCTGGCGAAATAACTTCTCCCATGACAAATCTAAACTGTTGGATCCCTAAACCGTTGAGCACAAAGTTGCAGAGACAAGAAGCAAAACTTATCTAAGTGAGTTATTAGGTGTGAAATGAGACTACCCCATTCCTGGTACCAACTACATTATCAGACAGGATCCCAGCAGGGGGGGAAAAAAATTCACACCAAAAGTTTAAGTGAAGATATTTACAGAGGTATGAACAACAAACAAGGGATGTTGAGGCACTGAGGGATTAGCTAAACCAGTAAACTATTACCAAGAGGAGGAAATACACTTACTGGAGACCAGTGAGAGTTGAAACCTTGGAGGAGAAGCTTCCCATTGGAGCTCAAGTTGAAGAATATACCTGTTGTCAGAGAATTGAAGCCAGAAGGGAAGAAGTGGGGAAGAAATACCCTGACGTTTTCTCCTCCTGCTTTCCCATCTCCTGCAAGTTCTTCCCACTGTCCATTGTCCAATGCAATGAGAAGGGAGTCCAGTTGATGCCTCCCAGGGAACAGAAAAAAGCAAAGAAAGGCAGAAAAGAGGCTAGGAGATTTCAGAAAGATAATCAGAACACATGAATCTGTTTCTGAGTTTCTATTTTGTTTCATAGATCTTTTCTTTTTTTTTTTTTTCCTAGAAAGACAAAATGTTTTATTTTAAAACATTGGAAAACCATTGAAAGACAAATGTCCATTATATAACCATGAACTTTAAATATCTGGAAACTGTAAATCTTCTAAAATGTGGTAGGCACTTTCAAAGAGCTAAATATTGCAAGTTATTCTACTGTATGTCTTTTCTAATATCAACAATACTTGATATGATGAAAAATACCAAGAAGACTCAACTAATTATTCAAAGTCACCATCTTAGGGTTCAACTTAATTACATGGGTAAAAGTTTTGTCCAAGATGTTCCTGACACATGAAGCTTCTGGGTGAATTTCAGAAATGTTAACAAAAGTATCTTCCTTTTTTGCCTGTGAATGTTTGAGTATTGCTGTATTGTTGGTTAATATCCACTACAGATACTGGTTCTAGGCCAGCCCAAGGGTCTTCAAGCATTGAAGGCTTGAAATAATTTTCCAACTCATTAGACATTCTTTTTTCTCTACCACGCCCTGATCCAAATGGTGTAGATGTCCTTGGAGAACCCTGGGGGTGGGTCTGCTGCTGCCCTGGGGAGTAGCCGAAATGCTGCTGGGACCCCGCGGGGGACTTGCAGTGGGAGCCAGGGTAGCCGCCAGGGGACGGAGACCCGAATCGGCCCCCCGGGAAGCTGCCGCCGTGTCGCGGAGAGTGGCTGCTCCCGGAGGGCCTAGACCGGGGCCCGTACGGCGGCGTGTGATGCGGACTCCCGTACCCGTCCCGAGGGGAGGGCGGCCGCGGTCCGCCTCCGCCCGGGGTACCCCGGAAGCTGCTCCCGCTACCCCAACCTCCTACACCCGAGCCGGGGTAGGGAGGAGTCGGGGGTCGAAAATTCTGTCGGTGCATATCAGGAGACGAAGACGAGGACCTCACTGCCGCATTCTCCCGCCGGAACGGTCCCTCATAGATCTTTTCTTATATTTGTGTGTCAGTATTACAATGTGTAATATTTTTCCATTCTTCCATTTTCCCAATGACCCGAGATGTCACTGTTTTACTAAACTTCAACATGTGCTTGTGTCTGTTTATGAAGACTCTATTCTACATTGTACATATGTGCACCAATACCACACCTTTCTCATTACTGTATCTCAATAGTATATTTTGATATCTAACAGGGTATGTCCTTCCCTTCAGTGTTTGTTTTTCATTAATTTTTTTGTTTTATTTTGTTTATAATCTGGCTTTGATTATTTCTATTTTCTCTTCAACATAAATCAGTGGATCAACTTTCATCATGGAACACCACATCAAAAACTAATGAGGTAGTGTATGGTGATTAACATAACATAATAAAAAAATACCATTGGCATTTTTATTGGAATTTACATTGATGTATAGATAAATTACAGGGAAATTTGATGTCTTCACACTAGTGAATCATTTCATCCAAGCGCATAGTATCCTTTACATTTTTAAGGTTTTTTTTGTATTCTTCAGTAAGGTATTATGAATTTCTGAATAAAGGTCTTACACGTTTATTCTTTTTTTATCCCTTGGTACATTAAAGGCCTTGTTGCTATAGTGAATGGGTTCTAATGTTATTGCATTTTCTAATTGGTTACTCCTGCTATAGAGAACATCTTTTAATATTTGTGTTTTTGGTCTTGTATTTGGCCAAAATAATAAACTTTCTTATGAGTTCTGATAGTTTATCAATTAATTCTCCTGGGTTTTTAAGTTTAAACAGTCTTTTCTTCTTCAAATGGACACTCTTTGTCTCCACCTATGTGTATTTTCTTGCACTGATCAGAAATCAAATGCAGCTTTGAATATTAAATGTGAGAACTGACATCCTTTCCTAGTTCCTAATTTAAAGGGAGTGTTGCTAGTGTTTCCCACATTTCCTTGATGATGTTTGTTCTAGGCATGCCTGCCTTTACACTGAGTCTCTTCTTCCCTTGCTAAAAGCTTTTATCAGAAATGAATACTGAATTGTATCACCTATTTAAGGTATATTTTGGGTATCTCTCAAGATGATTATATGGATTTTTAAATAATCACCTTATGCAAACTCCATGAGAGCTTGTCTGTCTTTTTTGTTTAAGATTTATTTATTTCTAAGAGAGAGAGTGAGCACAAGCAGGAGGGGCAGGGAGAGGAAGAGAGAATCTCAAGCAGACACCATGCTGACCCCAACATGGGGCTCGATCTTACAACCCTGAGATCACGACCCTGAGATCACCATCTGAGCTGAAACCAAGAATCGGATGCCTAACCAACTGTGCCATCCAGGTGTCCTGAGATCTTGTCTGTCTTGTTCACATTTTTACCCCAACATCTAGAACAGTGACTCCCTCATTGTAGGAACTTTAGAAATATTTTTGAAGTATTAATAAATAACTAAAAGTATTTATTATTGTCATTAATTGCATTGATGGAGCTCTGATGGTGACTCATGCTTGCATTCCTGGAATAAATCTTAATTGGCTATGATAGTATTCTTTTAATACATTGCTGGATTTAATTTAACATTTTTTCATTTAAAGTTTTGATATCTATATTCCTAAGTTCAATGGTACAGTTTTCTTTAGGAGCTATGCAAACCATTAATTTTATAAGATTTTCATATTTCTCTATGTAATGTTAAACAATGAATTCTTTCAAAACTTCAAAATTTCCACATGTGTAGTTTATGTTAAATTTTCTAATTTGTCATATTTTCTCATTTCTGATGTATCTTCTCTCCTTTTATTTTTTTAATATTTATTTATAATTTAGAGGGGGAGAGAGAGAGAGTGCATGAGTGGGTGGGGGAAAGGGAGAGGGAGAAAGAATCTCAAGCAGACTCCACACTGCACACAGAACCCTACATGGGGCCCATCACGGGGCTCAATCTTAGGACCCTGAGACCACAACCTGAGCCAAAATCAAGAGTCAGATGATTAACTGTGCCACACAGGCACCCCTCCCTTTTATTTCTTGATAAAAGTCACCAAATACTTTTAAATAGTTTACCAATTATTTCAAAGAAAAAAGTTAGGTTTTATTTATTATTTACCATTTGTATTATGTTCAGTTTAATTTTACATGGCAAATGTATGATTTTTATTTTTTCTATTCTCTTTAATTGACTTTGTTTTCCTTTTCCAGCATCTTGAGTTTAATGCCTTGTTTATTTATTTTCAAACTTTTATCTCCTAATCGATGCATTTATGTCTATAAAATTTCCTAAGTACAGTTTTGGCTGTATCCCACAGTTCTGATATATAATCCACTTGCTGTTGTTTGTTTCTAAATGGTTTATAACTACAGTTTTGCTTCTTCCCTCTTTAGAAATTTTTAGGAGTTTTAAAAAATATCTTTTTCTTGTTTATTTCTAGTATTATTTGCATTATGGACAAATACTGTGACTAGTATCATTTTAGCCTTAGGGAATTTTTTGTGTTTTTCTTTGTCGCTTAATATATGGCCAATTTTTGTAATGTTCTATGTATTTTGAAAAAAATGTATATGCACTTATGACTTGGATATATAATACATCAAGTATGATGATTGTAATTAAAATATTCTATTTTCTTATTATTTTTGTTTTCTTGATCTATTGATTTTTTTAGACATACCTATTTTCCCTGTCCTAATTTTTCAATTTCTCCCATAAAATATAAGGTGAGAAACAAAATAGCTTGGGGGCGCCTGAGTGGCTCAGTTATTAAGCATCTGTCTTCGGCTCAGGTCATGATCCCAGGGTCCTGGGATTGAGCCCTGCATCGGGCGCCCTTCTCAGTGGGAAGTCTGCTTCTCCCTCTCCCACTCCCCCTGCTTGTGTTCCCTCTCTCGCTGTGTCTCTCTCCGTCAAATAAATAAAATCTTAAAAGAAAAGAAAAGCTCTTTTCAACACTTTCAAATCCTTAAGTTCTTTCCTGTTCCACCATGTGTGTGTTATGACTGCACAGGCAAATAGACTGAATAAGACCCAGAAAATATCATCTGTCTGTTAAATTAATTAAAGGAGGAGGTCATTGGACTGAGGTGGTTCTAATGCCCTAGAAGCCTCCATAAACAAACCAAAACCCAAGTTCATAAATGCCTGAAGGCTAAGAAATCAAAACCCAACGACAACCAATCACCAACAGTCAACCAGGCTCTACCAAATAAGGCAGCCACTTAAGCTAGAGCCAATCAAATAATTTCCTTGCTGTGCTTCTGCATCTTCTCTATAAAAAGTCTTGCCCCAACTCATCTCAGTGAATCATTCCTAACCACTTTCAGTTTGGTGCTGCCTGATTCAAATGGATTTTTGTTCAAATAAACTCTTAAAAATTTTAATATACCTCAGTTTATCTTTTAACATGTCTTAAGAGGCTTCTTAAGTCAGCAATATTGTCTTATTCATCAAAGTATCCTCCCAGAAGTTAGAGTACTTCCTGGCACATTGTAGGTGCTGAATGAGTGTTTGTGGGATGACTGAATAAATATTTAGCCCACCAGAATATAGGTGGGTCATTTCCAAATGTCACAGGGTAAAACTTTACTTCATTTTCATCTCAAGTACCCTTCATATATCCAGGATCTATGAAACAGTTTTTGGTATCCAGGGAAGAAAGCTAACCTTATAAAATTGGAAATAAATATTTTGTTCTAATAATTTCACCATGTAGATGGGGCTACAGAAAGGCCAACTAAGCTTCCTTATTCTTTAGAATGTTTAAGCCTGAAATGCTCCTGTTTCAACTGAGGCTGACTCCCAAGCTTTGTTTTCTGGGCCATGCAGTGAGGCTTAAAAGACAGATCAGGGACATCCATTCACTTTAGACAATATTAACAATTGATCCAGATCACCACTAAACTGACTCACCACTAAACTGACCCAGCTAAATGTGAAGATGGGCTAAATGAATAGCTAGATCTGGTTTTTCCCCACACTCAAATAGCCTCTTGACCCTCTTCCCTAATCATCTCTTGCCTCCTCATTACACACCTAAAATTTGGAAGACAGACTATCCTAAGAGCATAGAAGTAGAAGGAGCAAGTTTTTTCACCCATGCCTCCCAGAAGCCAATGCCTGCTTTCCTTTATACACATTCCTGAATAGCCCTAGAGAATCCAGAACTACCCTGCCCCAGGCCTAATGGATAGCATTCTAGGAGATTCCATACTCTAAAAGCATTCTAGGCTACATAAAGCCCTTCATAGGCCAATGAATTTGTGTGGTTTGTTGATAACGAATTTCGGACGCTGTATAAGCTCCACTTACTCAATGCTATTAGAGAATTGACTTTTAACCTAACATCAAGCTCCCATACTATTGTAGGGTGTATTCCTTGGGAAGCAGGCTCTGAGACAGAGTTTGTTGAGCAGGCTATGCATTAAGAAGGGACCTCAGAATTAACACTTGAGGAAGGGAGGGAAAGGAATTAACAGTGCACAAAGAAAGAAGTCAAGCACTGATGCAGACCAATTGACACCTCAGCTGACCCCACAGGAAGCTCTGAAGCTAGAATGTACCTTCAGGGTTGTCTGAGTTGGAGAAAGGTAGCCATGCCCTCATATGCCTACATCTACCAATCATTAGATGTGGGCTTCTTGGGAAGGGATATGATGTTGGATGAGGTAGCTCTCTGAAGTTGAGCCAATCCCTGAAGGTGTTGACAACTGAAGGGTGCTGGTGGCAGCACTCCAAGCAACTGATGTAGTAAGTCTACCCTTGAAGGGGGGATCTGGGCAGCATATCACACTGTTCTCATACATGAGTGATCTAGGCTTGAGATTAAGAGCTCTCCATTTAGTAAGCAGAAAAGCAATACTCATACTTTTTGGCCTCAGAATCCCTCTCCACTCTTACAAACTATTACAGACCCAAAGAATGTTTATGTAGATTTTTGCCTTAACAGAACTTAAAATTGAGAAAATTTTAAAATATTTATTAACCTATC